ACCGACTCTCCGCCTTTTTGTTTCTCGTCGAAGAGTGTCCTGATCGACACCTCGGTGTCATCATCGAAGAAATGGGCGAGAAACATGCCTTCCAAGTCCTCCCAGCTGTTGATGCTTCCGGGCTTGAGACGGCGGTACCAATCGAAGGCAGGCCCGCGAAGGGTGCCAACGAATGACCGAACCATCAAGGGTCCGTTGCCAGAGATCACCCCCAAGTGGGACTTGAAGTAGATCAGATGTTGAGTGGGCGAGCCCTTTCCGTTGAACGGCGTGAAGTTGATCAGGTTGAACTTCGCCGGATACGGGATCGAATCCCATTTTCTTGGGTAAGGACACGTAATACCGGTCTTTTTCACCTCTCGAGCAGATATCAGGGCGTCGATTTTTCTTTCGAGATCCCTCATCTTTTCGGCCTGATCTATATCCTGTTTTGGACAATTGTCGAGAGGAATGATACGGCCACCCCCAGTGTTGTCATCACTGGTGGGTCCACCCCCAGCGTTGTCATCACTGGTGGGTCCACCCCCAGCGTTGTTATTTTTAGTGGGACCACCCCCAGTATTCTTGGGTGGTGCGTCGGCCATGACGATTCTGTCCACTTCCGGATCGCTGTCAATTGCGGCGTTCTGGGTGCGACGGCTGGATTCCACTAGCTGATTTGACAAAGCTCGGATTCGTTGATCGTGCATTTGTCTCATCTCTTGCATAGCCACTTCCATTTCAAACTTGAAGATTTCCTTCTGCTTAGTCAGGGCCTCTTCAATGATTTTGGCTATCTGATCGGTGTTGGCCATGAACACCTCTCGAGCTTGCCCTATGCTAGACGTTGTATCGTCAGAAGCGAGCGCGGAATGAGAATCCGAGAACTCATCATCGGAATGGACTCCTTCATGGACCCCATGGTCATTGTTATATCCGACGGCTTCTAGCTGAAGCTGAGCTATTCCCAAATTGACCCTGCTTCCTAAAGAGAAATTAGGGTCGGAGTCACTTGAAATGATTGGAGATTTTCCCTTGTTGACCATGTTGATGGTAACTTCTAGGGGTTCATCATCCCGAGCAATCGATCCTCTTTCGAGCAATCGATCCTCTTTGGTGAGAACGCCTTGATTTGGGCTTTGTCGTTCCATCGGAGATTCTCTCGAATATCGAGACCCTCTGCGGAGCGGGATTCTCTCGAATATCGAGACCCTCTGCGGAGCGGTCTTGGGGCAGCTACATGTTGATAATACTGCCCTAATAAATTTGGTACACGGACAGTGAGAATCCGTTTCCTGGGTGTTTCTCTTTCGAGATTCATCCGCACCCCCAGCCCGATAGTACAACTCATCGACGTTGCGGTCGGAGTAACCTATCGGCTGCTCACATGGGTTCTCAGGTATAACGCGTTCGTTTGTCGGACGCGTTTTCTTCTGAGTGATCATTGCCTTGTTGGCTTTTACAGGAGTCTCACGTTTGGGGTCACACCTTTGTGAGGATGAAACCTTAACGGGCTCCTGATTTTTTGTGTGCATCGCCGAGCTGGTCGTTGCAGAAATCGATTTGTTAGGAGATCGTGTACGACCCCCAGTCTGGATGTTGGCTTGAAGCTCCTTCAATGATCCCCAGCTTTCCTTGACAAGCGCTTTTCCTCGATCCTCGGGTAGAGCACCGATACGATCCTTCGGAGGATTCTTGAACTTGGGGAAATCCGCGCTGCGGTGGGGCTTTTCCAGAGGTTCGGGATCTGAAATTGATGAAGGTTGGAGAGCAATATTACCTGCTTTTACCTCAGACGTTGTTTTGGCCTTCGGCATCCAAACTCGTTCGGATCTCGGCGATCTCTTAACGGCCTCTCCCTTTAGCATTTCTCGTGCTTTTTGGACCAGGGCTCGGGCATGCGCACGCAAGGCGCGGCGCTTCTGGATTCGCTCCTCAAGAGTAGAACGGGTTCTTTTGACATGAACCCATTTGTTTGTTTCTGCTTCGGAGGAGGGGCTGGTTGTTTGCCGTGGTTGCTCCTGGCGTTGCCTGGATTTTAGATCTACGTTATAGCGGATCCCATCCATCGGCTCCAAAGCCTCGGCCAGCTGCCGTCTTTGTCGTGCTCTCTTTGATATTGCTGGAGTATCTTCAGAAGCCATCTCCTCGGCGGAAGAGGAGTCCGGATCTGCGATCTTGACCACGTTGGACGACGCGGGTACGTCACGTGGTGCAAGTGCAGAGGCGGCAACGGGGTCTTGGATTTTTGAACCGAAGGACCTGCAATCATTTATGAAAGAGGTTACCTTTCTGTACCCGTTTGGAGAGGCGGATCTGGAGGAGGAGGAAGAGAGGCCTTCTTTGAACCGTTGTTGATCGAGCTCGTGTTCTTCATTCACCCCGATCTTGAGTGCTGGTTGCGTCACGACGGCGTCGGTTGCGATGCCGTTGGCTCCCACTGTGGTCGCCAGCTTGTTTGCGGAAAAAGTTGCTGTATTCATTGCTGCATTCATTACAACTTCAATCGTTACAATGAAATAAAAAGATAGCCTTTTTATAAGACCGGTACACAATGAAAACAAAAGAAATACAACTCTTTTCAAACAAACGCAAGATCTGTTTGTCATCTCTTGCTTGCGTGGGTCTTTTGCCTGTGACGGGGATGTTGATATCTTCTTAGTATTAACGCTAAAGGCTAATACTAAGGTTCGGACGGGTGATGAAGGCTCTGATCAAGACCTCTCCTCCTCTTGTTGAAGCACACGGGCACTCTTCACTGCAGCAGGGCTTCGCCAAGGCTCTCCAAAAATCCTCCCCCTCTGTCTCTAGCCTTGCTCCAAGACAAAAGAATTCCAGCCCCTTGAATGAGGACCCAAGGGGTCTATTTATAGGCCAAAAGGAGTGTGGGGGGTAGGTAGGGGGTGAGGACACCCCTAGGTGTCTCGGCCAGGCCGAGACACCCTTGGGGTGTCTCGGCCATATGGCCGAGACACCCTAGGGTGTCTCGGCTTGGCCGAGACACCCCTGGGGTGTCTAGGCTTTTCCTAGACACCCCCGGGGTATTTCGACACGCCGGGACTCCGTTTGAGGTGTTTTGTTGGTTTCCCTGTAGATTCTTCGTCCGGATTCGGATTTGAGTGATTCCGGGTGCGTTGGATGCTTGACGAAGAATTCGATCCGCTCTGGTGATTGGATTATCTGTAGAGTGGTCGAGGCGCGAGGGGCGTTGTCCTTTTTGTGAACAGTGCCGGGTTCCCGATTGGTCCGGGTCTTGGTTGTTCCGAAATCCTATCAGCTCACATAACTCGTCGATTCACTTCAATCGTTCGTCGACGTCGATTAGGCTCATGTGGATCGGAGAGTGACGTTCATCGTCGCTCTTTAACACTGAACCGTTTGTGGAGACCTATAGACAATTTTTGATGCCTACAAGCAAGAGAAAAAGCCTAATCTTGCCACGCGAGTTGTTTCACTTAGGATCAAAAAATTGCATGCGACTGTAGTTGTATCTAATTGAGGTACCTTGAATCAGCTGCGATCGTTTATTTCGGCGCAGCTAAAAGATTTCAGTAACAATGGTAGCCAGAAATATGACTCGATGCGGCCGATAGTTTATGCGGATTTCGACGAAAGTCGCAGTTGCCTCGAGTTGAGATGTCCCGAATCAGTTGCAGCTGTGTGTTAAAATGCACCTAATAAATACGGTCACAATTATAGTTTCAAAATGTCTCCAACCGCAGACATCAGTTACTTTCATAGATTTAAATGCAAGTCGCAGTTGCAACGAGCTGTAAACATGGTTTCAGTTCCGCTTGCTACTAATCCACAGCATAGACTGTAAAAATAACATGATATCCAAAGCGAAGACCAGAAATTAAAGGTTTAAATTGCAAAAGTTTTAAGTTGAACCAAAATAATCGGCACTTATATTGTACTTAAAGTTGCAGCAAATTAAACAGTCCTACAGCAGAACATACCCTCCTCACTTATTGTTCGGTCTGTTAATATTAATTATAATTAACAAATGCGGTGATTTGGCTTTATTGAGTGGATCAGTCAATTTTCTCTTAAAAAAGAAAAGGGCTTTGTTGTGGTCTGAGCTAAATGTAGTTTTAATCACAGAAAATAAAATGGCAAATGTTTGATTTGCTGCAGTTGGAGTTGCGGGTAGGGAGCTTCGACTGGGAGAATGAAGTAAAAAAGAGACCTTTTTGGGCCGCAAAAGGAGGACATTTGGATTTTTTATGTACGACTTGCATGTAGCTCTCATCACAATATACTTGGATTTTTGGTTTGTATTGGCTGGAGCTGCATGTACCTCCAGCTGTATTAGAAAGATGCTCCCGCATCAGTTACTTTTTTTTCATTTCTCTGTTTTATTGTTTCTTCCAACAATTTGCATAACATTTTTCAAATGTCACCCCAATTACATCAACGTAATTAGAGCTAGTGTTGCTTAGAAAAGTATTTAGAGCTAGCACGCTGCGTGTTATTGTGAAATCTCAACTCCCATTGATCATGATAGGATTTGATCTTCCCTTTTTTTTTTGTGAGAGAGAGAGAGAAATTGTTGCTCTAGCTCGGTCAATGACCTAATATTAGGCCTTTCAAATGAAGTTGAGAGGTGGCAACTGGACAACCTCTAAGACAACTGAGGCTAATTTCAACAGATTAGGAGTAGAGAAAACAGGAAGCCTACCAAATATCAAGACTGCAACCCCTCACCATCCCCATCCCCATCCCCATCCCTTCTTAACTCACCTATACATTGATTAGATTAATGAGTATGTCTTCATTCAAACAATAACTTTTTTCCCCCCAACTCATTATCATAAATACACCTACATTTCTATCTTGTGGTGTCCATATGTACTTCCATATGCTGTGTAAATTTATACTACTTTTTATCTTCATTCAAGATAATCACAGTGGTACGTTGAAATGATGAAACAACTGTGATTGAATAAGCGATGCCTGTTACCACTGTCACCACCATTACATACAAAATTTACACAAACCAGCATGAATAATTTTTTTTTTTACACACCAACCCTCCCTTTAGATGAAACAATGCCCACATTCTCCTTCATGATCTTAACAACCTCAGCCATCGACGGCCGGAGCGCCGGCTGCTCTGCAACGCACCTTGCCGCGAGCAGAGTCATCGCTAAAACCTCATCAACATCATACTCGTGTCCTAACTTTGGATCAACAAACTTCTTCATCTTGATCCTCTTGATCCTAATCTCTTCTCCCTCCGCTCCCATAACCGGAGCCATAACCGTCGTCAGAAGCCGCTCCTTCTCAGGATCAAAAGCCTCCATTCCTGTAATCAGCTCCATAATCAAAACCCCGAAGCTGTATACCTCGCTCTTCTTTGACATCGACCCTGTTCTCAAATAATGCGGATCAACATACCCCAAAGAACCCATCATCTGCTTCTCCGATCGAGTGATCGCAGCCGAGAACCCCATTTTAGCCGACCCGAAATCACAAATCTTCGGTTCGAGGTTTTCATCCAACAGAATGTTCGACGATTTGATGTCCCCGTGGATAATTTGAAGGCCACAGCCTTCGTGCAGGTAATCTAAAGCCAATGCTACATTGTAAAGAATAGTAATTCGTTTCGACCAAGGGAGAGGGATGACGCAGTTGAGAATGCGGTCGTGGAGAGTTCCGTTGGGGATGTATTCGAAGACGAGAATGTTTTGGTCTTTTTCGTCGGAGTAGGCGATGAGCTTGACGATGCTGGGGTGGTTTAGGCGGAGGACGATGTCGAGTTCTTGATGGAATGCACGGTGCACATTGAGGACTTTGACGGCGACGAAGGAGTAGCTTTTAAAGGGGACGAGGTGGACGGTGCTGAATCCTCCCTCGCCGATTATCGTCGAAGGGTTGAAGTTTGAGGTCAAGGCATCAACCTCTGATGATTTCAGTTTGATGATCGAGTTGGTTTTTGCAAGAGGGTTATCGAGAGGTTGATCGATATCAATAGGATTTTTGCATGTGTGGGATTTAAGATAGAGAATGGAGAGAAGAGAGAAGAGGAAGAGGATAATGGCTGCTGAAATGAGGAGAGCTACAGCCAAGGTTAAATCCATAGCTCCCTCTTCTTGGTTCTCTCTCTTCTAGATAGTAAATAGATCGAGTAGTTTGGAGGTTATTAATGGATGCTTTATGTTGTCGTTGTAGGTACTTGCTAAGTTTATATCAGTATAGAGAGTAGTTTGGATGTTATTAATGGAGGCTTCATGTTGTAGTTGTGGGCACGCGGTAAGTTTTTATCAATGAGAGAGGGTACAGTGTGCTGGATTAGTTGGAGAAGTGACTCGTAATTTGAAGTTTTACTTGCACTTAAATACCCTATAGTTTCCCCTACTTCGCATTTACATAGCCTCGTCACTTTTGTTTTTGGTAGCACTTGTGTACCCTAAAGTTTTAAAAACTTGCAATTATACGCCCGCATTTGTTTTGGCAGCACTAGCCGCCAATTTGGCGTTGCTTTTGTTAGGGTGATTCTGCTTATTTATTAATAAGCATCTATAATAGTGTTTAGTGAAAACGTTTTTGGCATGCTTATTGAAACCGTTTCTGTTTTTAAAAGGGGTCTTTTTTTGGCATGCTTATTGAAACTGTTTTTGTTTTTAAAAGGGTGCTTCTTTTAAAAGCACAATCTGCTTGTTTTTAGTTTACATATATACCTTTTATCTTTTAACAATGATCATTGAGCACGGTTCTACCAAGCACATTAACTGTTTTTTAAGCATATTTTGATATTTGGTTACTAATCATTTATTTTTAACAGCTTATATAAGTTTGCTTCTATAAGCTGCTTTATGAGAAACTTATTAAAAGTCCATCAATACCAAATTGGCCCTTATATACTCTAAAGTTTTAAAATATGCACTTAAATACCCTGTAGTTTTTAAAATGTGCACTTAAAATACCCTTAGTTATGTAAGTTTTAAAAACTTTAGGATATTTAAGTATCTGTCTTAAAAACATTAGGGATTTAAGTACATGTATTTAAAACGTTAAGATATGGAAGTGTTGCCAAAAACACATGAAGGTATATAAATGAAAGTTTAAAAAATTTATGGTATTTAAGTGCTGTCGAAAACAAGTGAGAGTATATAAATGCAACATAGGAGAAACTATAGGGTATTTAAGTGCACTTAAGCCTAATTTAAAGGGATGGTGAAATTGGTAAGAGGGTGAGAGTTTGAGTGAGGATCCGAATCCGAAATTAGAGGGAATCGTGATGCAGGTATAAGTTGTTGGATTGTTATCAACAAAGTTTTGATGTGTATCAATGATTGGATATGGGTGAGCATGGGAACTAGATTTTGCTGGACCAGTGTCTGATCTACTCGTGGTCAAATGAGCTACTTACGGATGCTGTCATGCTCTCAAAATGCACATCTTATTTTGAGATGCATGACAATGGCAACACGTGCACAAAGCACATACTAAGCTTTGCCGTGCACTTCCATATTACAATAAGTTTCATTTTAAAAGAAACTTTATTGACAAATAGAGAAGTCTCAGAGCAAAACTACATCATAACAAGTTCACTCTAATGAGTCAAAAGACTCTTATTATATATGCATAGTAGCAAGACACGTATAACTTTAACTTTCAGCATCCAAACACCCTAAAAGATCATTCTCATGTTGCAAAGCTCTGAGATACAGATAGAGCTATCTAACTTTCATTTGAAAAAGATTGAAAAACAACGGGGTGAGTTTACACTCAGTGAGTAGAAAATTTATCATTAGCGGATCAGATAAGTTAAAGAATTTATCAATACTAAAATTTAAATAAGCTGTCGAAAAAAAAAACGATTAAGAAACACATAATATTTTGAATAAGAGGAATTTCCAAGAATAGATGTGATATTACAAAATGAATATTCACAAATTATAAAACAATACAAATGAACGCTAAATACTTTTAAAATCATAAGTATCCATCTAAATCCACACATGCAAAACTTCCTCAGTTATCACACTAAGGCTACGAAAATTATAGCCCAGTAGCATAGGAATGCGTATCAAATCACTATAAGCCAACCCGGGGACAGAATGTACCTAACACTATCATAGGTTGTCCGAAGGCCACTTCACTTTTGCCAAAAAGACCACTTTTAACACTGGTCGGTACATTCAATACCATATGGTAGGCTTAAACATATCACTTCACTCCATAGCGGACTTCTGAGAATTTTTAACATTTAAAACACTTTACTTTTCACTAAAGGTATCACTCGTAATTTTCACTGGTATGAAAAGCAATATAAATGCTTAAACATTTTTTTAAACCTTCCTCATATCAATTTTATGAAAGTAGAATATTCTGAAAGTACCATAGGAAGGAGGAGGGCGGGGGGGGGGGGTAAATAGGGTATTTGCTAATCTAATCCGATTTTAATGTCAAATTAAAACTTACTAACAATATCCTAGCAACATGATGTATAACAAGTTATATGCAAGGATATACAAGAGATAATATGCTATATAAACAATGAGACGATAAAAGAATACGCCAAAACAAACGCCAACACAAGGAAATGATCACGGAGTTTGGTCAACTACACAATCGGTTCTCAACGCTCCTCACCTACGTCTCCGCTCTTCACCTCAAGGAGAATCTCCACTAATCACAAAATCAACTACACAATCGGTTTTCAACGTTCACCGATAACGTTTACAATTTCACATGATTGTCAATACCACAAGATACTCCTCTAAGTGTTAGCCTACCCGTGTCACCTTCCTCAAGTGCTTGGATTTACTACCTCTCCCTAGGTTTTACAACCAACATCACTCCTCTTAGAATTGACCATGATCTCTCCCAAACACTCCTCTAAGTGTCCTTGTGTATTACAACATGTTCTCAACAATTAAGTGCAAATAAATAATTTGTTCTCCAATACAAAGATGAGAACTAAATTGAAGCACATTCAAAAATACACTCCCACAACCCAAGTATACAATATGTGAAAATACTTAAGCTCAAATGGTTATGTGTGTAAACAATGAACAATAATAAAAATTAAACTCAAATTAATCTAGCAAATATATATATATAAGAATCAAAATAAAAATAAGCTAGATTAAAGAGTTAGAAAAGCTTCTCTAAAATGCACAAAGAGATGTAGATGAGAATTGAGGTTGAACTCCTCAAAACTGAAATAGAAAGCTTCTTCTCTTTGTGAAAACTTCTTCACATAAACAAACTATACTTGATTTTTCTTTGAAACACTCAAACAAACCTTGCAAAACTTGTTCTAAACTTTCATAACAAAATCTAAGTGTTGAGGACTATATATAGTCTCTCAACATATCAGTCCAAACGAGAGGAAAGCATAAAAAATAAGGCAAAGCCAAGAAAAAACAAAATCTGAAAAACTAGCCATTTTTTACAACTGATACATACTTGGTCGACTGATGGTCAAGTGTCGGTCGACCGAAAGATGCCTATCGGTCGACTGATACATATGTATCCGTCGACTGATGACTCTGAGAAACCAAACGTTGAAAAACTTCTCTGGTCGGTCGACCGATTTGACTTGTTCGGTCGACCGATGATTGATAAAATAGATATCCAAATTTTCAAAAAATATAACTTTGTAAATTCAATTAAAAATAACAAATTGACTCTAAAAATAGTGAAAATTTGGGAAATGTTTGTATACATGAAATTAAACATGTTAAAGAAATTTTTTTAAAAAAATGCATTTCCTGTTTGTGAAAACTTACTATTCTGCGAAAAGTTCAAAATGCGAGTTTTGTTAAATACTTGATTTTGGCAAAAACAAGTTTAAAAATTCTTATGAATGGATTTATAGACTTGGTGATATATGTAAAACTGTTGCATAAAGTCGATAATGCAAAAACTTGATATTTTCTCAAAAAATGTGTGCGTGTATGAATTGAGCTGTAAGTATGAACATATAAAGTATAAACAACCTAGACTACAAAAGTATACCCAAGCTAATGATCTCTTCTTGACGCTCGATTTTGGTAACATGGATGAAGTGCAATAGTGTCTTTGACTTGAAATGCAAATAGTTTCATTTCGGTTTTCTCCAACCTCTAAAGGATATCGTCGTTAAGCTTAATTCCATCCAACCGCCAACTAGGATCTTTGTGTAGGATTCCTAACAAGTAAATATAAACACTCGACAAACGATATTAAGAATTGTTTGTTAATCATCAAAACTAGATTATATAGTACGCTCATTAGCATGAGACCTAACATATTCATGAAACTAAACAAATAGATAATTTTTTTTTGTCAAATAGAACTCCTTAATAAATGCATTTGAACACTAAATTTGAAATGATATATTTTCAATAATATCATATACTAAAACAATATTTACATTGTAAAACATAAATAGCTATCACAATTTTAAATTTGTTAACAATTACTAATAATGAACATAATAACATGTCTAATCCACAATTTCTCTACACAAAAATAAATTATCATTTAAATAATATATATAATAGAAAACTGTAAAACCCCATAAAATTTGAAAATATTATGATTTATACTGATAAATGAGTTTTAATTATGATAAATAGCATTTATGTATGAATGATTATGTTAACAATTGATATGAGATCAATAAAGAGTATATATGAGAGTATACAAGTGTAAACATGCACAAAAACGAGTAAAACATGCACAAGATTTTGAAGCTGGAAAGCCTCTGGTTAGTCGACTGGTGTTGCCCATCAGTCGATTGACAAGAAGTCATCAGTCGACTGACAAGAAGTCATCAGTCGACTGACGGGCTATTTTCCAGAACCTTTTGGGTATTAGGTTGGGCTGTTTGAGTTTGGGGTTTGTACCTATATATATCCGTTTTTGTCACAAAAATTTTATCTTTTCATCAGTTTTTCTAAACCCTAGTAGCCTCTCTTCTTCTCTCTCAAAACCCTAACCCTAAATTTAGATTTCGGGAGAGCTTTGTGAAGCGAACACCGAGAGGAGGACGAGATTTGCAACGTTTGGTGACGAGGGATCAAGTCCTGCTTGTTTCAGAGGGATTTTCACATGGTGAAAGGTAAGATCACCTCCCTCCAAACCT